ATTTTAGAATTGTAGATACCTTAATCTAATCGTCATAAACAGTTCCCACACTCCGGACTACTCACCTTTACTACTTCCTTCACCGCTTCCTTCGTGGCGGACCATGTTTCCCTCCCTTCCCATAGCATTTTAGGATAACAGGTAACCTTAATCTAATCGTCATTAATAGTTCCCACACTCCGGACTACTCGTCTTTACTACTTCCTTCACCACTTCCTGCGCCGCGGACCTGTTTCCCTCCCTTCTCATAGCATTTTAGAATTTTAGATACCTTAATCTAATCGTCATAAATAGTTCCCACACTCCAGACTACTCGCCTTTACTACTTCCTTCACCACTTCCTACGCCGCGGACCTGTTTTCCTCCCTTCTCATAGCATTTTAGGATTGTAGATACCTTAATCTAATCGTCATAAACATTTCCCACACTCCGGACTACTTACCTTTACTACTTCCTTCACCATTTCCTACGTCGCGGACCTGTTTCCCTCCCTTCTCATAGCACTTTAGGATTGTAGATACCTTAATCTAATCGTCATAAACAGTTACCACACTCCGGACTAATATTTACCACAAAACTAATAACAACAATTAAACGAAATAATCTGCTTGGAATAATTCAGTAAGACCACCAGAAATTATGCGAATCGGTGTATTGTTAATCAACGCTTAATGGTATTAATCGGACTCCTTTTCTTTTGTACTGTCTTTTGTAAATAGGCCATATGTGCATGCGCAAGACCCCACATGCGCAAGCTGAGGTGCCCGTGGGTACAGAACGTCACGTTATGTTTTAAAATGTAAACAAAATGACAATAATGGCGGAATGTTTTCTCATAAGGCCCATGTTAAATTTTCAAAAGTTTGTACTCATATTATGGCGAAAATAGATTTTTCCTGGCTATACCACTGGTTAGAACTTATTTTTGACACAGAACTTAGTTATTCCGTAAATATAAACGTTTTTGTTAGAGCCGATTCCCAGATCGAGTTGACAAGTATTCAAACTTTACTCGTATTATATATAGGATATTTAAAAAGAATTAATGAATCTTAACAGCTGTTTCAATTAAACAAGTTGGTTCTGTTCTATGATGTTCAATAGCATTAAAGTTACAAGGATTACCAACAGGCTGCAGCACTATTATTTTTTTTAATTTATGACAACAGCTAATTTGCAACCAAAAGGTGAGTGAGCGAAGCGAACGAACTTTAAACTGGAGGCGAGTTAGCGTAGCGAACGAGCTAACCTGAAGGCAAGTGAGCGCAGCGAACGAGCTCCAACCTAAAGGTGAGTGAGCGTAGCGAACGAACTTCAACCAGGACGTGATTGAGCCATGCGAACGAGATCATCTTGAAAATTAAGAAGTTAAACGGGACAAAGCCCGCAGGTACAGCTATTTGTTTTTATTACTGTTTTGTTTATTTCAGCTTAACTTGACCAATCAAATACTTTAATACTTTTAATAGGTACTTTAATACTTTTCAATGAAATGGCGACCATACAAAGAAGGTATTTTAAGCTAAGTATGAATGGAGATGAGTGTAGAAAATAGTACTGTATTATTAATACTTATGAAGTCAAACGGGATGAAGCCCGTGGGTAACAGCTAGTTACTGTATAAAGAAGAGATGGGGTCTGCCTGTGTTTATGTGTGTTTGTATGGGCTAAACTCAAAAACTACCGAACGGACTGGGATCAAATAGGACAGTAATAAAGCTACAGCTCCGAGGATACTATAGAACTATTCCCGCTTCAAAGTTGCAACTGTCAATGCCCCAAAGTTCTGAGGTAAGAGTTTTAAAAGTAGATATTGAATGGTCTCCATGGTAACAAAGAACAAACCCACAAAAGCTTAAATGTAAACAAGCAGAAATGTCAGATGAATTTTGATTTCACATTTACACACAGATGATTCAAACATATGAAATATATGGGTATGGATCATAAACATAAGAAGTTATGTCACTCACCCGAATGTAAATATTACTTAACATATCTTAATGGAACTGTCAAACCATATGTTAATGTTATTATAGTCAGTCTAAAATAATTGTGAGGTTGAAATTCAATATATGCAAGAATTATATTCTATTTGTTTTATTGTTTTGTTTTTATTGTTTGTACAGTTCTTAAATATATTACTGTATTATCAATTATTTAATTTCTAAACCATAAATATTTCACTCCCAAACAAATGAGAAGAGCTGCAACGGGTCCCGGGTCCAGGTCTAACCATGAGACCTACGGTAATAGCTTATTATTAATTCATGAGTTATGGTCCGAGCGCCGGGTGGCGCAAGCGCCTCGCGGACTACGGTACCTGCTACGTTGTGACTGATTTGAATACTCACTCATACCCTTTTCTGCACTGAAATCCCCGTAACAATCATCTGTTTTATATTGCAGTCAGTTTTTTTAAGGAACCATTTGTTCATTATGATTGAACTACACAAGGAATAAGACTAGGCTAGAAGAAATGATTTGAACAATAAATAATCTTGTCATTTAAACGTACAGTATTTAGAATTGATTTTAATTTCTCTAGAAGTTGTGTTATGATGTGCTCTGGGCTACTAAGATAGGTATCTCAAAACCCACAATGATAAAATATGCTAACTGGTTTATCCAAAATGAGTTTGAAATTTTTTTTATTTTTAAGCGATAATCATGCATTTATGCTTTATGCTTTGGATGGATTGTTTTAAATATAATTTCAGTTCTGGTAATGTCATTATACAGTACAAAGTAGCGCATTGTAATGACATTTTCGTAATTAGTTATAAAAAAAAAAAAAAATAGTATAGGCATGGATAACTGTAGGCATGGATAACTGGATAACTTATAGTAGGCGTGGATAACTGGTTTCAAAATTCTAAAGCGATTCTTCACTTCTTTAAAACGGGTGGTGTTTTTGGCCTCTAGGAACCTTAAAACGAAAAAGTAAATCGGTCCCGGGTCCAGGTCTAACCATGAGACCTACGGTAATAGCTTATTCCCTATATGGGAAATTCGCTAATAAAAACATATATTAAATCACAAAATGAACACAAAGATGTAAATTAAACAAATGTTAGTTGTAATGTGGACGTTTACAAAGTACTGGAGTACTATCAAATCATCCACTCTCATAACTGGAAAGTAGATATTATCCATCATCTTCGCTTAAGTCATCACATTTAAGTCCTGCACATTCATAATAAATGGTTCCATCATTTCATCACGCAGTCATTCTTTTATAAAATCTTCTTCCTGGATATTTTCAGCATGAATTACACATTTCTTCCAGTCTTCTACTGTTACGTTCATCATGGCATTTTCAAGAAGGGTCCTGACATCCTTTATTTTGAAAGACGTGTTATTTTGCGCTACTCTCCTTTTCATTTGAGTCCAAATTAGCTCGTGCGTCTTTTATAAAACCATATAGAGCGGACCCTGCGTGACATAATTATTGTGACAAGCATAGAACACTTACCTACTGAAACCTGAAACCCTCCCTAACCGTCTAAGCTTTCCCAAATACTGTATACTTGCGGACCCTGCGTGACATAATTATTGTGACAAGCATAGAACACTTACCTACTGAAACCTGAAACCCTCCCTAACCGTCTAAGCTTTCCCAAATACTGTATACTTGCGGACCCTGCGTGACATAATTATTGTGACAAGCATAGAACACTTACCTACTGAAACCTGAAACCCTCCCTAACCGTCTAAGCTTTCCCAAATACTGTATACTTGCGGACCCTGCGTGACATAATTATTGTGACAAGCATAGAACACTTACCTACTGAAACCTGAAACCCTCCCTAACCGTCTAAGCTTCCCCAAATACTGTATACTTGCGGACCCTGCGTGACATAATTATTGTGACAAGCATAGAACACTTACCTACTGAAACCTGAAACCCTCCCTTACCGTCTAAGCTTTCCCAAATACTGTATACTTTCTTGCATGGTTTTGGTTGGCCCACGTCTCATCCAGGGGGGAGGGTAGGTTACCTACACTAATCCAGGTCCCGTAGGCTGGGTTATAATCCGGTAGGTTAGTTGCGCATTGACGGCTTGAACTCTTGATCTCTTGAAATTATAAAGACTGAAATTATAATCAACTGAAATAATCCACAAAAAAGCAACTCCCGAATGAGTTAAAAGTTAAAGTAGCATGTGCCAGTTGTAGCGATTTCTCAGCAATACTACATTCTTTGTCTTTTGATGATTTGGATGATGATATTTCAATAAAAATTAAAACTTGAATGTCAACCATATTCTGCTTATGAAAAATGTGCATTTTTAGTTATGTTCAACCAACAAACACGACACGAGCAACTATTTTTTTCTATCAGGCCGAAAGACACTGTCACTCACTCCACTACAGTACCACCATCACACGACATAAACTCAGAAATCCAAAGACAACGAAAGATTGCAATCATCCATATAGGTAGAATGCCGTTGGTTATGGGAGTTTCGTTCCTACTTCTTTATTTGTTATTGTTTATTGTTACACTTCTTTTTAATGTTTTTAGAAACTTTGTCATTTTTAAAATCTATTAGTCCTACCCGACAAGTTTTGTAAACTTGGCGAGGCCATGCATGTAATACCTTAAATAAATATATTTGAATTTGAACCTAGATACAAACTTGGATTTGGACCAGAGAGCACAGCACGTGCTTGCTGATACTGTCTGGTCTAGCCTACCCTGGACATTATCAGGTATTAGCCCGGTGGCTGAACATGTGTTTATACATTAGATAAAGCATAAAGATACAGCAAAATGTGTGGTATATAAGAACTTAATAAGTTGAAAGTCCGAGGATTTGGTTACATAAACGTTTAATTTGTAAGGAAGAAAGGGATGAAATGTTTCTAAGAGGAGTGCTTCGCGATGAATGAATGCAACGTTGGAGATTTGCATATGGTTTATTGGGTATTTTAGCGAAATACAGGTAGAAACAAGACATTTACAGTGTTAAGTGTACTGTAAGTGTTTGACTGACCTGAGAGTGAGCGCGTCCTCCTGCTCTCTGCGCTGCTGACTCGGCACCAGACCAAGGGCCAGGAGAACATCAAAGGCGTGGCCGTACAGGAAACTCTCCTCTTCTATGGGATCGATGGTGGGAAGACGCTTAGGTTTACGCTTGGGTTTGCGGCGCTTGAGGACCGGAGCTTGGGTCAAGTGCTTGACAGTCCTGGACCGTAGACGACCGCTGAGGCTACGCGACCGTAGCGAGACCCACGGCACGGTCGGTACACGGGACGTACGGCGAACACGGGTACATTGCGGCATCCTACACTGCACTCATCCCTCGGCCTACACGTGAGTACTGCGTTCATGAGCTGGCTATAGTCAGTGCGGGCTTTTGTTATGATTCATCCATCATAAGTAGTTTGTGGTTTGCAGAAACACCTAGTTTCAAAAATAAGCCACAGGTAATAATTTAATACTTTGTTAGTTAGTAATATTCATTAATTAAGAATAGAAAAAGATACACTGGGAATGTTACTTAACATATTTAACTGATCTATTTAACAACAAAGTGTCACGTGTAAAATATCTAAAATTTTCCACGTTTTATGTCGGCCCAACAAGGTAAGCGACTGAGGAGAAGTCTGTTCTCCATTCTATTCATGTAGTCGTAGGTATTTCCCGTTTTTATACGATTGAAAATGCGTGAATACTGAATAAAAAGTATTATATTTAAATTGTATTTAAACTTAGCATTTCCCCCCACAGTCTTCTACATAATTAATATGCCACACGAAATTTGTCAGTTAAACTCCTCCGCCATTTCTAAATCGATTTTATTCATTGACGCGTCTCATTGGAAAGTGCGAGTCGCGTAGATTTGCTAACTGACCTTACATTTGTGAAAAAGTCGCTTGGGCTCTGCCCCAGTGGCTTTTAAAGTTCCCGTGTTATCCTTATGAAGAACATAATTGTTTACATTTTGAATTTAATTGCTGTTATTTATTTTTTAATTCAATGAAACGCATTGGGTACATTTACTGATTTTGTTGAAATTAAATATTTACTATTTTAATTCATGGTGGAAGGAAAATCCTTATATTTTAATTTACATTTGTACATATTAGAATGTAAAAAATCGAGAAAGCCTGGATAATGTACTGTATTTCTTGAGCAACCATTGAACGTAAGAAAGTCATAGAACGCCACCAAGTAGAAGAAATACAGGGTGTCCCGTAAGTAAACAGCCAAACTTCGGGAAATGGTTCTATGAGTCAAAATAAAAAGAAAATCATAATAATATTTTTCCAAAATCACTTCGTTAACCACATATCCGTCATTTTGTCATTTTTTACACAAACATTTTTATTTTTGAGTTTTTTCAACAGATCTTTATAAAACGTGGTATGTAGGTTAAGGTAGAAAAGCCCCATGTTAAAAAAACCAAACCTAAAACCATCCATCTTGATCCAACCTAAAATTTCAAAATGGCGGCTATTTAAATTGTTTAAACTTAAATTGATCAAAAACGGCTAATTTTATGAAAAAATTTACGAACACTTTTATTTAGCATTTTTAATTCCCTATCTAACGATACCAAGCTCAAAAAGATCGATAAGAAATAGCTTAAATATTACGATTTTTAGTTGGAGAATGGTGTAGAATAAGGAAGAAGCTATAGTTCGGCCGAAAGCAGGGCTACAGATATACATATACTGTATATCTCTAGCCCTGGGCCGAAAGCGACCTGCGCTCTAATGCTAAACCAATGCTATACGAGTAGATCAATAGATGCGAAACTCGATTTTAACTGTTTTTCTTAAAATCAGGCGAGTCGGGCCTGCAACTCAGTTCGGGGCTGTTGTTGCAAGGTGTGGCACTGTGGCAGGGATACGGTTATCGTTATCAGCACGAGATAAGAGTAGATAACTCGTCACCTGGAACCTAGAGCCGATAGCACCAGCGATGACGCGCAAGCGGCCAACAATCATGCGGTACTTCAATCCAACTCTCATACACATGTTTCCTCTTTCACAGATAAAACATACATGTATCTATAATATCTATAGTACTTCAACAATTTGAAATACAGTAACTTATAACCTTTTACATGACGAGATACAGTAAACAGTAAAAGTCATTCCCAATATAAAATGCTCTTAAGTAAACGGACGCTGTCGCTGTCATAGATTTGTAGTTATTTCTATGAAGCGTGTTTACTGTTTGTACTTGGTGTTTCGCAGCATGTCTGCACACATTTGCATGTTATTGCTGCATTATTGATGCAACTGATTGATAACCTTATCAAACTAGGCCAAGGAGCTCGTCTTACATTGGTAAACCGACGACCAATCAGAACCCGCGTCTTCACACCTCTTTATCACTTTGTGTTTGGTTTATGTTTTATGTCTACGAAAAGTCGGAAGTCAAAGAACTTTTTAAAGATACGTTTCACCCCACCTCTAACTTTTAAATTCGAGTGTAGTACTGTGGTTAGTTTATTTTAAAAAAATTTTAATGAGTTTAAAGTGTAAGTTGTGTGTACTGTCCTTGAGGTATTTTTGTCGTAGTTTACAAAAATATTTTTAGGTAATACGTGATAAAAATGGCACAGGCAAATCCACACATGCCTACATCTACATCTTTACTTATGTTAAATAATACACGAACAAGAATTTTGGAAAGCAATACTTGATAGATTAATACCACCGCCACAGCAACCTTGCAGACCTAGCAAATTTCATGGCTTGTTGGATTTTCACTAAAATATTTCCTATAAATTTCAGATTTATTTTCTTTTTAAACAACAATAATTTAATTTAATGAGTACTTAGGTTTGCTGTTACAAGGAATGTAATAAAGCACGTGTTTATATTGAAATGTTGAAAAAAAAAACTTAGTATGTGTTGTAACTCTTTATAACATAATAAAAGATAATTCAGATAAAAAAGTGTATTATTCCATTAACATAGAATAGAAACTAAACATAAACAATAGTAATCAAAAAGAATAAAGATCATATGATCAGCTGGTAATTCAAATGCAGTCTATTAGAAATTATAACAATCTTCCCCACATAAGTTTTGAGCTCACACATAAGCCTCAAGGTAACTTGGCGGTTGTCGAACACGTGTTGACCTACGTAACTGAGGTGACTCAACTTCATCAGGAATCTGAATGTCACATTCAGGATGCTGAGCCTCCACTACCGGTATTTGGCCAGTCGTGGAACGTCGAGGTGATTGATCTTGAATTCTGACTTCATCAGGAAAATGGATGCCACATTCAGGATGTTGAGCCTCCACTACTGGTATTTGACCAGTCGTGGAACGCCGTTGTAGCGTACGACCGACAATGGTTGAACCACTGTTTGGAGAGCGTTGTAATGCTGGTATCCCTGGAATATTGAACCTAACAGTACGTCTTTGAATATCTTCTGACTGTTGGTTAGTGGAGCGTCTTTGATTATCTTCTTCCCGTTGATTTGTCGTTTTAGGCGGTACTCTTGTTCTTATGAGTTGATTGATGTGCCTTTTGATTAAGCGTCCAGAGTCAAGCTTTACCATGTAATGTCGATAGCCCAGTTTGGATTGGATGGTTCCAAATTCCCAGATTTCGGCATTTCCAGAGTAAAGGCGAACTTGGGCTCTATCTCCTAGTCTCATCGATCTTACATGTTTTGTCTGCCTAACTTCTTTTTCTTTATTTATCTTCTTTGGAATAGGAAATATGGCATCCAGCTCTATTCTTAATCTTCTGTGCAAATAAAGTTCTGCTGGGCTTTTCCCACATGCAAGTGGTGTGGCTCTGTAGCGTAGAAGCATTTTCCTGACCTTTTCTGGCATGGTGCCCTTTTCACTTGCCATTGATTTTAAACGTTTCTTCACAGTTTGAACATTTCTTTCGGCTAATCCATTTGTAGCTGGATGGCCTGGGGCAATAAATTTTTGGGTAATACCATGATCAATACAGAAGGCTTTGAATACATCGCTTGTGAAAATTGATGCATTATCGGTGACCAGTGAATTGGGGTAGCCATGGAATGAAAATATTTCTTGAAGTGTGTGTATTGTTGTTTCAGTTGTAGGAGAATGTCTCATGACTCGGACCTCTGCCCATTTTGACTTGGCATCAATGGCAACTAGAAAATGATGACCCTCGAAAGGACCTGCATAGTCTATATGTAGACGTTCCCAATTGGAGTGAGGCTGATCCCACGGGTGTACTATCACCTTCGGGGGGTTGTTACGGAGCTTAGCACAGATTTCACAAGATCTAACTAGGTCTTCTATGTCATGGTTTATCCCTTCCCAGTACACATACCGCCTTGCAAGTTGTTTCATTTTTGTTATACCGATATGTGTTGTGTGAAGTTCTCTCAAAATTGAATTTTTAAGGCTCTGTGGAATGACAACTCGATCTTGCCAAAAGAGAATTCCATCAAGAAGGGTGTAGGGTGTGTCTTCGTTGCTTGTTTGTAGAGTTTTCATAAGAGATTTGAGATGAGAATCGTTTAATGTTGCACTTGCAATGGTCTGATTCGTGATAGCAGTTGAAGAAATTTGGAAAAGTGACTCAGCATACAGAAGGTGAACTTCTTCATTTATCTTCATATCAGTTGATCTTGAGTCTTGAGACAAAGGTGCTCGAGATAAACAATCAGCATTTTCATTTTCATCTCCTGATTTGTTTTTCAACTTATAATTGAATCCAGATAGAAATTAAGCATATCGAAGTAATCGAGCTGTTGTCATTTTCGGCAAAGAGTGGTCATGACTAAAGATTTTGCTCAAAGGCTTATTATCTGTGACAAGAGTGAACTGGCTTCCATACAAGTAGTTATGAAACTTTCCAACAGAAAATATAATAGCAAGTGCCTCTCGATCTAGTTGATTATAATTTTGTTCTGCAGGTGTTAGTGATCTGGATGTGTAAGCGATAGGGCGTTCATGACCATTTACGATGTGGCTAAGTATTCCCGCAATGCCAACAGGGCTTGCATCGCAAGAAAGTACAACTGGCAATTTTGGATCATAAGGAATCAGGACTCTGTCACTGCAAATCTCTTGCTTGAGCTTTTGGAAGGATGATTCACATTCTGTCGTCCATTGAAAACGGTGTTTCTTCTTGAGCAACTCCCTTAAGGGACAGGACAACGTAGATAGATTTGGAATGAAACGTGAGTAATAAGTAATCATTCCAAGAAATCTTCTGACCTCATCAGCGTCGTGCGGTCTTGACATTTTCATCACTGCCTTTATCTTCTCGGGAGATTTGCTGATTTTATTTTGCTCAATCAGGTGTCCTAAGTATTCAATCTTTGTTTCAAAAAATGTACATTTCTTTCGATTTAGATGCAAGTCGTATTCTGTTAGTCTTCTTAAACACATTCGAAGGTTGTGAGCACATTCTGTTTGGGTTGCTCCATGGACGACTATGTC